CCGCCGGCGCCGTTTTCCACAAGGCCGCCGTCTGGGACGACGAGTGGCGCTCGCCGAGCGCGCAGCGGACCAAGGTCCGGCCGCTCTGGTGCCGCTGGGACCCGGACGTCGTGCTCGACGACGACGACGACGACGGCGACGGCGACGGCGAGCCCGGCGCGTGGCGGGTGAGCTGGGCCGACCGCACGGACACCTACGTCGGCAGGGACGAGGTGCGCGACTGCCGGGAGACCATGGCGGCCCTCGCGGCCGCCGCCGTCGACGCCGCGCGGCGGGCCGCGGCCGCCGCGAAGTCGCCGCCGAAGCCCGCCGCGGCCGCCACCCCGCGCGCGAAGACCAAGGCGGGGCCGAAGGCGGAGCGCGCGCCGAAGCGGACGAAGGTGGCCGCCGCCGCGAAGCGGACGGACGCCGCGGCGGCGGACTCGTCGCTCGCTCCGCTCGTGCGCTACCTCGACCGGCTCGAGGGCTGCGACGACGGCGCGGCCGCCGCGACGGGCTGGCGCATCGAAACGACGACGCGACGCGAGGGAGCTACGACCGGCCGGGAGGATTTCTACTACTTCAGCCCCGACGGCCACCGATTCCGGTCCCTCGCCGACGTCGCGCGGCACCTCGACCTGATCCCGCTGTGGCAGCGCACGCGCAGCAGCACGCCCGGCGGCTCCACGCCGCGAGCACCGCAAGCCTTGCGCGAGGTCATCGCGGAGGGCGTCGTGACGCGCGCGACCCGAGGAAGCGGCAAAAAACGAGTGCGCCTCGCGATCGGTGGAATCTTGCTGCCGACGGCGTTTGACGGTCGTACGCAAGCCGTGGCCGCGCTGGAAGGGAGTTCTGCGGTGCAGCGCTGCGTCTGCGGCCGCGCGCACCACGGCGACTACGTCGCCTGCGCGGGCGGCCCCGGCGGCCGCTGCGGCGGCTTCGTCCACGCGCGGTGCGTCGGCCTCGTCGGCGACGCGCCCGAGGGCTATTTGTGTCCCCTGTGCGCGCCGGGTCCCGCGGCGTCGCTCTGCGTGCGCGAGAACGAGGCGTGCCCGCTCGTCGGCCGCGTCCTGCTCCGCGCGCCCGGCGACGACGACGACGACGACGACGCGCCGCTCCTGCTTCGCGCCGTGGGCGCGTCGATGCGCGACGGCGACGTCGTCGTCCGCTGCGCGTCCCTGGTCTTGGAAGACACCGCGCTCTACGACATCTCCGTCGACGACGCGCGCACCTCGGCGCTCCGGCGCGAGGCCGCGGAGGAGGCCGCCCTGGACGCGTCGTTCGAGCGCGGCGGCAAGTACGCCTTCCACTCCACGCTGGCCAACTGCGGGACGTGCAAGAATTGCAAGGACAAGCCCGAGTTCGGCGGCCCGAACACGTCGCGCCGCGCCTGCGAAAAGATCCTCGCGCAAAGAAACCCCGCGCTCCTCGCGCTCGCCTCGGGGACGCCGCCCGCCGACGGGTGCTCGTGGAAGGCTATCGGCGGCATCGACGGGAGCCAGCCTCGCAAGAAGCGGTCCGGCAGCCGTCGGGCCTGCGCCCCCGCCTTCGACTCGGACTCTTCGGGGTCCGACGAGGAGTGCCGCAGCTTCGCCGTGGGCGACGCCGTCGTCGCGCCCTACGAAGGCGTTTACTACCGCGCGACGATCACGCGCGTGCGCAAGCGCCCGAAGCGGACCGTCGACGTCGTCTTCTCCGACGGCGGCACGCGGACGGCGGTCCCCGTCGCCCGAATCCGGGAGACGGACTCCTCCGACGAGTCCTCCTCCGACGAGTCCTCCTCCGACGAGTCGTCCGACGACGCGCCGCCGCCGCCGGCCGCCAAGGCCGCGCCGCCGCCGGCCGCCAAGGCCGCGCCGCCGCCGCCGGCGAACCACGGGCAGTGCATGATCTGCCTGTCGCAGATCGGCGGCGGCGAGGCGCACGCGCTCGACTGCGACCACGTCTTCCACGCGGACTGCCTCAAGAGCCTGGCGAACTGCGTCCGCCTCGCGACGGCGACGCGCCGGAGCGCCGTCGTGGCCTGCCCGCTCTGCCGGCGCGTGAAGCGCACGGAGATGGACATGACCTAGCGCGGTCCGGCGCTTCTTGTAATGTGTCGAAAAAGAAGAGGCGAGAGGGGGGTTACTTTCGGGCGGCGCGCTCAGCAGATCGTGTCGATGAGCGCGTCGCGGAAGCGCTCGGGCTTCTGCGGCCCGTCGTCGTCGGAGTCGTCGTCGTCGTGGAGCTTGAGCACGTTCTCGATGACGTTGATCTCCGTGGACGTCGTGTCGTAGCCGCAGAAGGCGGCCCAGTCGTTGGCGATGAGGCCCGCGCCGAGGACGTCGGAGCCCCGGTTCACGGTGCCCGCGATCAGGGGCACCTGGAGGAGCGACGCGAGCTCCTCGAGGTCGTCGACGGACGTCCGCGGGTGGACGATGCCGCCCTGGTTCGTGAAGCGCGCGTAGGAGCCGACGAGCGCGTTGCCGCAGATGGTCTGGCGGAAGACCTCGACGCCGAGCACGTCGGCGACGATCTCCTCCGTCTCGCGGTCGAGGTCGGTGTGGCAGAGCGCGACGTGGTCGTTGCACGCGATGCAGTTGCCCAAAGCGCTCAGGCGCTCGTCGACGCGCTGGACGACGACGGCGTCGGGCAGGGCGTTGCGCAGGTGCTGGAGCTCCTGGTCGCCCGTCGTGTTCGGCACGAGCAGGCCCCGCTTGTTGCCGACGCAGACGCGGCCGACGAAGCGGCAGCCCGCGATGGACGTGTGGACGACGGGGATGTGGTCGCCGAGCTCCGCCTCGAGCACGCTGAAGAAGTTCTCGCTGTTGCCCACGCAGGTCAGGGCGTAGGCGTTGGTCAGCATGGACACGACGCCGATCTCGTTCGTGCCCTCGAACTGGAGGCGCGTGCACATGGTCGGCGGCGGCGCGGGAGCGTTGGCGCGCGGAGAATGGAGCCGAGCTGGCGGCGCGCGCGTGCGGCGACGACGGCGATTTCGCTGCGGCTGTCGCGCGCGAGCGCAGGTGCGACGACGACGACGACGAGGCAGGCTTCGGGAGCCTGCTTTGATCGCTCGATTGCGCCGCTTCACTCGTGCTTCACATCACTCGCGATGATGCTTCGAGGAGTTGATGCTGCTGGCACCGCCCTGCCCCTGAAACGAAAAACCTGGAACCGCCCAGCCGCATGGGCGCCCAACAATCGCGGCCGTGATGGCGCGCCTCTCCGCGGCGACGGGCCGCCCGCTCCGCCACCCGCGGCGCCTCGGGTGCCCCTGAACGCTCGCGCGCCTCGAGCGCCCGTCCGGCGCGCCCGCCGCGCGCGCCTCGCCGCCGAAGGATGACGCTCTGGTCGTCCGTGGCCGACTGCTGGAAGGACGGCGACAAGATGCAGTTCGACGCCGGCGTCCTCGAGTCCGTCTTCCCGGCGGACCACGACCAGAAACAGAAGCGCGGCGACATCTTCAAGGCCATGGACGGCAACGGCAACGGCTACGTGTCGCTCGCGGAGTTCGACGACTGGTTCAACCGCGCGACCTGCGCGCGGGAGCGGCTCCACGGCCTCAAGCCCGTCGAGGGCAAGTCGACCCTGTTCCCCTACGCGCGGCCGAGCCTCATCCGCGCGTTCTCGCTCGCGAAGGGCGCCGCGCCGCCGATCGCGTCCGAGCAGCGGCAGAGCGACTTCAACGAGGACGACTACGTGACGAACACGGAGGTGGCGCTCCTCATGATGGGCCTCCAGTACTGCCTCAAGATCTTCCGGGTCTTCGACGCCGTGGACCGGAGCCACGACCGGCGCCTCGACCGGCGCGAGTGGGACCTGAAACTGGGCCACATCAACCACCAGCTCTCGCTGCTGGGCTACAAGGGGCACGTGATCTCCTCGACGGACTTCAACAAGGTCGACAAGGACGAGGGCGGCATGATCCTCCTGAGCGAGGCCGTCTACTACTTCCTCAAGCTCCTCTGCCCCAACGAGACGCTCCTCAAGCGCAACGAGGTCCTCGGCGCGAACCCGACGATGATCGACGTCGGCAAGTCCGACGCCCTCATACCCGCGGCGGCGAAGAAGAACCCGAGCTCCAAGTCCTGCACGATCCTGTAAGGCGCGGACTTGTATCGGAGGCGTCGCGGCGCGCCGAAAAAAAGAGAAAGAGCCGACGGCTTTTACCCACGCGCGGCGCCCTCCCCCTCCTCACTGGTTGAGCTGGAGGAAGAGGTCGCCCTCGAAGCCCGGGAAGCCGACGAACTGGACCTCGTAGTAGAGCTCCGCGTTCGGCGGGATCCGCGGCTTGCCCGCGGACGCGGAGCGGCCCTTGGGCCCGAAGCCGAGGTCGCCGGGGATGGTGAGCCCCCAGGTCTCGCCGTAGTGCATGAGCGTCACGGCCTCGTCGATGCCCTTGATGAGCGACCCGCCGCCGACGCGGTAGTAGAGCGGCTCGTCGGTCTTCGTGATGTCGTCGAAGACGCGGCCCTCCGTCGAGCCCTTGAAGCGGATGGCGATGAGGTCGCCGATCTTCGGGATCGCGCCGTTCGGGTTCGACTTGATCACCTCGTACTTGAGCCCGGACGGCAGCGTCGTCGCCGCCGACGCCGGCGCCGCCGCGCCGACGGCCGCGGCCGCGGAGAACGCCGCCGCGCCCTTGAAGAACTCGCTCCGCGTCGGCGCGCGCGCCTTCGGCGACAGGGACAGCGCCGTGGCGGTCGCTAGGAGCGCCATGTTGATGAAGAGGTTGCGCATGGCCATCACTGTCCCACAGTCAGCACCGATCTGAGCCAGTGTTGAGCTCAAAGGCTCACGACAAATTAGCAGCTCGTGCGACGAAGATGGCTCGTCTCCTGCTCGCGTTAACGCTGCCGCTCGTCGGCGGATTCAGGCCATGCTCGCGCCGCGCTTTATTTGGAGCTCCCGCGGTGCTCTGCCTGCCGCAACCCAGCAGCGCTGCCTCGCCAAAGCCCGGCGTCGCCGAGCTCAAGGCCGCGCTCCTCGCGGCGATCCCCGCGACCGCCACGGGCCGGCCGGCGACGAACGTCACGGAGCCGCGGTGCGCCGCGGCCGTCGAGCGCGCGGCCGCCGCGCTCGAGGCGTCGTACGGCGCCAGAGGCGCGACGCGGGACCCGCGCCTCGGCGGCGGCTGGCGCCTGCTCTACAGCGACGCGCCGGAGATCACGAACCTCGCGGCGCTGCCGCTCGGCTTCCGCCTCGGCGCCGTCTCGCAGCCCTTCGACGTCGCCTCCGGCACCTTCGAGAACCAGGGCCGGATCCTCCACGCGACGGGCCTCGCCGAGGCGTCGACGCGCGTCGTCGGCGAGTTCGCGATAGCGCCGCGGGGGTCGCGCAACGCCGCGGGCGTCGCGAACGACCGCGACGACCGCGTCGACGTCGACTTCCGCCGCGTCGTCTTCCAGCTCGACGCCGTCGCGGGGCGGCCCGTGGCCGACGTCCGCAAGGTCGTGCGGCCGCGGCCGGACCCGGCGCTCGCGCGGCCCGCCGTCGACGTCACGTACCTCGACGACGACCTCCGCGTGACGCGCGGCGGCGACGGCGCGCTCTTCGTGCTCGCGCGCGACGCCGCGCCGCCGCCCATGCTCGGCGCCGCCGAGCGCGAGAAGATCTACGCGCTCGACGCGAGCGCCGTCACGTCCGGCGCGGGCCTGACGAACTGGTCGAAGACGACGTCCGGCGTCATCGCCGGCCGGGACGACGCGGCGTCGCGGCTCCGCTAGGTCGGCACGGCGCGGCGCGGCTCCGCTAGGTCGGCACAGCGCGACGCTCCCCACGTGCGGTACGGCTTCGTTAAGCCTCCGCTAGTTAGCCGTCCCCACGTAGAGCGCGACGCTCCCCGCGGCGTAGAAGACGGGCGGCCGCGTCGCGAAGCCCGCGCGCTCGACCTTGCTCCGGAAGGCCGGCGGCGGCGGGAAGGCGGCGATGGACCGCTGGAGGTGGTTGTACTCGTCCCAGCGCGCGCCCGACAGCAGCGCGCCGAGCCGCGGCACGACGTGCTTGATGAAGAGTCGCGCGATTGGCGCGAGGACGCCCTCCGTCGGCTCGCAGAACTCCATGACCGCGAGCGTCGCGCCCGGCGCGGCGACGCGGCGCATCTCCCTCAGGGCGCCGTCGACGTCGGGGATGTTGCGGATGCCGAAGCTGATGGAGATCTTGTCGAAACCGCCGTCCGCCAAGTGTTCGAGGTCCGTCGCGTCGCCGAGCGCGAGCTCGACGGTGCCGTCGAGGCCCGCGGCGGCGACCTTCGTGCGGCCGATGGCGAGCATGTTCGCGCTCGGGTCGACGCCGAGCACTGCCGGCCCCGCGGCGCCCTCGAGGATCGCGACGTCCGCCGTCCCCGTCGCGAGGTCGAGCACGCGGTCGCTCGGCGCCAGTTCGAGCGCGGCCACGAGGCCCCGCCGCCAGCCCTGGTCCATGCCCAGCGACATGAACTTGTTCGCCAGGTCGTAGCGCCGCGCGATGCGGTTGAACATCTGGCCCGTGCCCAGGTCCTCCGCCGGCGCGCCCTCCTCGAGGCCGCCGAGCGTGACGAGCAGCCCGACGAGGATCGCCGACAGCACACCGACGAGCGCCGGGCCGGGCTTCATCGTCTTTCGATGCGGCGCGATTCGGCGCGAGGCTGCGAGTCTGAGAGCGTCGGCCAGCGCAGCCTCGTCGACGGGCGGCCGTGTGGTTCAGCGAGCGATCTTGAGGTAAAACGAGCAAGGCAAGGTCGGCGCGCGCGATGGGCCGCGCCTTCCCGCGGTGCAGCCGTGCGCTGCTGCTGCTCTTCGGCAGCATCGCGGTCGTCGCCGACGACAGCCAGCTGCCGCAGCGCCTCCGGCAGCTCGACGCGGCGCGCGCCGCCTTCGCGCGCACGCCGGACCGGCCGAGCGCCTACCTGCTCGCGCGCGCGCTCCTCAGCTACGGCCACGTGCGGCCGTCGACGGTGTCGAACGCGTTCTACGTCGAGGCCGCGGAGACCTACCGGCGCGCGGCGGCGCTCGGCGGCGCCGCGCCGAGCGACGCGTCGCTGCTCGTCGACGAGGCTGGCGCGTGGGTCCAGGACGGGAACGGCGCGCGCGCGTTCGCGGCGCTCGCGGACGCCGAGGCGGCGCTCGGCTGCGGCGTCGCGGAAGCCTGCGCGTTCCCCGACGCGACGGCGTCGCGGCTCTGGGAGGCGCGCGGCGACGCGCTCGACCTCCAGGCCGGCCGCGACGCCGCGGCCGCGGAGGCCGCGTACCGGACGTCGCTCGCCGCGGGCGCGCGCGCGCCCGTGCTCAACAAGGTCTGCCGCCTCGTGTCCCGCGAGCGGAAGCGGGGCGGCGCGCTCGGCGGCGACGACGCCGCGCGGCGGTGCGTCGCCGATATTGATGCTGTGGTCGCAGCACACGGCACATCAGCCTACGACGGCGCGCGCCTGCTCTACACGGCCTTCGCCCTGCGCGAGGGCCTGGGCGACCACGACGGCGCCTTCGCGGCGCTCGAGCGGGCCAACGCCATCGAGCTCCGGCCGGAGGCGGAGCGCGCGGCGCTCGCGGCGTCGCGCGACGCGAATCTACGAGTGCTCAAGTCCATCTTCGCGACGCGCGAGGGCCTCGCGCAGCTGGAGGCCTTCAGCCCCCGCGGCCGGCCGGAGCGGCGGCCCGTCTTCGTCGTGGGCCTCCCGCGGAGCGGGTCGACGCTCGTCGAGGCGATCCTCGGCGGCCACCCGCGGTGCCACGGCCTCGGCGAGGACAGCGTCTACAACCCGGCCATGGTCGCCTTCCGCGACGGCATGGCGGCGGCGACGACCGGCGCCGAGCTCGCGGCGCTCTACGAGTCGACGGCCGACGCGGTCTGGCGGGGCATGGTCGCGGCCGCGCCGCCGGAGAAGCGGGAGCAGCCGGGCCTCGTCGTCGTCGACAAGATGCTCATGAACCTGCGCACGCTGCCCTTCCTGCACCTGCTCTTCCCCGACGCGCGCGTCGTCGCCCTCGCGCGCGACGCCGAGGACGTCGTCTTCTCCTGCTTCAAGGCCGAGCTCACGGCGCTCGCGCTCTACAACGACCTCGACGACATCGTCGGCGAGCTCGCGTGCGACCGCGACCACCTCGACCACTGGCGCACCGTGCTGCCCCCGGGCCGCGTCCTCGAGCTCCGCTACGAGGACCTCGTCGCCGACTTCGGCAACGCGTCCGCGCGGCTCCTCGACTTCGTCGGGCTCCCGCCCGTCGACGGCTTCGACGCCGCGGACTTCCACAAGACCGCGTCCCAGGTCCAGACCTGCTCCAAGGAGCAGGTCAACCGGCCCATCTACGCGACGGCCGTCGGCTCCGCCAGGCCCTACGCGGCGCACCTCGCGGCGACGAACGCGAAGCTCGCGGCGCTCGCGGAGACGCGGCGGCGGCCGGCGAAGAAGAAGAAGCGGAAGAAGTAACAAAAGCCTCCCTCTGCTCGCGCCTAACATACAATCTTACGGGAACTTGATCAGGGCGAGATCTCACTCGCGCGCTCCGTCGTAGCTCAGTCGTCCCGGCTCGAGCGCCAGAACGACAGCACGTGCCAGAAGACCTCGTTCGGCACGCGCGCGGCTTTGGTCTTCGTCGTTGGCGATGACGGGAACGCGAACAGGCGCTCGAAGATCACCATCTCCGCGGCGCTGAGCGTCTTCAGCTTGAGAATCCCAGATGCGGCATGAGGCGGCGTCGCGCGGCCGCGCGCGCAGAGCGAACGGAGTCGCACGAGCTCCACCCGCGGAGCGCGCTCGTAGGCTTTCCAACTGCCGGCGGACTTGACTTCGCGGATGAGATTTATGATTGAGGCTTTTGAGTCGCCATAGCCATGCCGTAGGGTCGTCGCCTCGGCGTTGAGACCCTTAGCATCCTGCAAATAGCAATTGGCACCACGGCGCAAGAGGAGTTTCGCAAGAACTAAGCCGTGCTTTTTAGCGAAGCAATTCATGAGCGCTGTGCGCCCAATCTCATTACGTGCGTCGACTTCCGCACCGCCATCAAGCAACGCGTCCATCTCTCCCTGGAACTGGCACATCATGAGGGGCGCATCTTTGATACCGCGCGGCGCGCCGCGACAGAGATTCGCGTCAGCGCCGTGAGCCAGTAGGAGGCGCACCGCATCCGCGCGATTGCTTCGACAATCTCTATATTGCGGGAGATGAGAGAGTACAATGTGTAAGAGCGCGCAGTCACGAAGAACAGAATCAGTGAATAAGACGTTCGGATCTCGCGTGCCGCTCTCGAACCAATTTCGCAGGGTGTCGACGTCTCCATCTTCCGCAGCCTCGATGATTTTCGGTGGCACGCTCATCGCCTCCAAATGTGTACAGTTATGTGTCGGCTTACGCCTTGGTCAAGACGGGCGTTCTTGGCTCGCGGTCTTCAAATTTTACACTCCAGACGCTGTCTGCTCGCCGAAAAATTTATTAGCCCGACGCCGTAGCCTCCTATTAACCGATCGCCTCACCGGCGACTGTCCGTCCTCGCCAGAGAACGACGCCGAAACTTAGTCGGCCCGGTACGTGCCGTAGAGCGTCGGGACGGGGCGCTTCGGCGGGTCGAGCCATCCTCGCACCTCGCGCCACTTGGACTCGCGCCGCTCCTCGAGGACCCGGTCGTCGCGCCAGGCCTTGAGGGCCGCGCGCCAGTCGCGAAACCGGTCCTTGAGCACGTAGCGGCGGCCCGGCTCCGCGGCGGCGAGCCAGAGCCGGCCCACGCGGTGCCTTTCGCGCTCCGCGCGGAGCGCCCACGTCGCGAGGCGCGCGCCGAGGACGCGCGCGTTCGCCGCCCCGGCGACGAGCGCGGCCCGCGCGCGGAGGTCGCCCGTCGCGCGCGCCCACCAGGCAAAGGGCCCGCGGCAGACGTGCGCGTCCGCGGCGGCGACCGCGCGCCGGAGCACCTTCCGCTGGCGCTCGAGCGCGAGCGCGCGGCGCCGCGCGCGCCAGCCGACCCAGTCGGCCCAGACGCGCTGGAGGAGGCCGTCGGCGTGCCAGCGCGCGGCCTTGGCGGCCCGGATCTTCGCCGCGGCGACGCGCCGCTTCCAGGGCCCGAGGCCCCGCCAGAGGAGGTTCGCGCGGTCGTAGTGGAGCCGCGCGACGCGCCCGAGGTGCTTCGCCAGCAGCCGGTCCGCGGCGGCCGTCGCCTCGGCCTCGGCCCTCGCCGCCTCGCGCGCGTCGAAGAGCGCGTCGGCGTCGCGCGCGCGCGCGCGCTCCTCGTCGCGCGCGCGGAGCGACGCGCGCTGCTCCGCGAGCCGCCGCTCCGTGCGCTCCGCGAGGCAGCGGCGCCGCTCGCGGCGCTCGACGGCGCGCGCGTCCAGCGCCCGCTGGAGCCGCGGCGCGCCGCGCGCCGCGGGCGGCGCGGGCGACGCGCTCCGCGCGGACGACGGCGCGCGCCGCGACGACGCCGACGACGACGGCGGCGGCGGCGGGGCGTCGCCGCGGGCCGTCTCGACCGTGAGCGCCGGCGCCGCCCGCGCCGCGAGGCGCCGGCGCAGCCGCGCCTCGAAGGCCTCGATCTTCGCGAGCCGCGCGGCCTCCGCCGCGATCTCCGCGTCGTCGACGCGCGCGGCCGCCGCGGCCCGGCGCCAGGCGGCGCAGGCGCGGCGCAGGACGGACCGCGCGCGAAGCGT